CGGAGTTGATCGCGGCGTTACGCCCGTCATCGTCGCACGCGGCCGCGCAGGTGGTCGCGCTCACCGCGGAGGTTCACACCCTTCGCGGGTTGTTGGAGGAGCAGCGGGTGTTGTACGAACGCGAACGCGAGGCCGCCCGGCAAGAGAGCCTCGCCCGCCATCACGCGAATCTCGAGGAAACCCGCAACGCCGCGATCACGATTAACCACCTCGAGGAGCTGCATGAGTGTTGCCTGCGCGATCTCACCAGTACCCGCCATCACGCCGCGCGGGAGATTCGCGAATTGCAGGGGCAAATCGAGTGGCTTCGACGCTCCATGCACGAGGCCCTCCGCCTCGCGGAGCGGTCTCGACAAAAGGAAAAAAACGCCCTTCTGGGGGAGTTGCAACGCCTCGAACGGCGATACGAGCCGACGGTGCGGGGGCTCCATTCCGATCTCGAAACCTATCGGCGAAAGACGCAATCGGAGCGCCACTCCCACGAGGAGGCGCTGCAGGAAAAACAAGCCCGCGTGGAGGCGCTCGAGGCGGCGTTGCGGCGGGAAAAACTCCTACGGAAACGAGCGGAGGAGCGGCATCGGTTGGAGATGGAAGGGGTGCAAAGCGAGCTCGATTTGATGCGGCAGTCGCTGCGGCAGATGGAGAAGAAGGTGTTCTTTCGCAACGCCCTCGAGGAGGCCGCCGCGTCGGCGGAGCAGCCGCCCATCGAGGACTATCACTTTCGGTATTAAAAGGCGGTGAGCCTTTTCGCATGTCATGCAGTATATGGAGCTGCATCCCTTTCGCGAGGGAGAAACCGAGGAAAAAGGGAGGAGGGGAGAGTTTCCCGTTTTGGTCGTTAATCTTAGACACTTGCCCATCAAGGATGGTTTTTTTCTTGCCGTTGCTTAGATTTTTTGGTGTATGGGCTGTTTGAAGAAAGAGGGCCTCAAAAATAAAAAAATGACCGAGTCATTTTCTCTTTTGCCTTTTAGTACGATTTCTTCATGCCAAGCACGAAAACGGATTGACCTTCTCAAGATATTTTAGTTTTTGAAGTCAACGATGACTGACTAAATTACATCCACTAGATATTTATTTATTGCCTTTCTAGATAAATTTGTATGTACGGTTCTCCTAGAATTCTCGACCACGAGGGGATCTATTGAGTGTGATCGATCCATACTCCTAACCGTATCTCGACCTTAGAGTCGGAAGTTCTTTCCAGGTGTTCATAACTCTTTTTAACCCGAATGAGGGATCATGGCGTAATTCTATACGCGTATCACTTCACCCTTTCTTTCTATCTTATTCTTCGCAAGAGCTTACCTTGCATATTAAGGCGCACATGGCTTGTGTAGAAAAGAGTTGCCCTAAAGTAACTCACACCAATTTAGATATGATACAACAGCCAAAAGGGAAGAGTTAAGTCCCCATCAGCACCACTAGCAATGCACCATCAACCAACAAGCCTTTTTTTTTAATGTTACGAACTAGAGGAAGCACCTTCTTCTGTGAAATCTCATTGTATGCCTTGTAAAATCACTGCCATGGTTTATCCTTGTACTTTGGGGCTGCAATTTAGCATTCTCGACGAGTCATTAAGGATTGAATGCCGTATTCTCAGAAACGCATGATTCTAATATAATGGAGCAAAAATCAACATTGGCATGAACCTGCAGGGTCTCAATAAATTACTCCATTAATCACCATAGAAGCTTTCATCGCTGCTCTTAAAGGATGAATAGCGAGGTAGATTTTTTTCTGCATTTCAGGGTTTGATTTCCTTTTATTCTTAAAAACGGTCCTCTGCTGAGGGTTGATTAATACAATTGACCAGTAATCTTTTGTATTTCAAAGCAGAAAGCTCGATATAACGTCTTCTGAAGAACTTTTTGAAGCAGGCATCGCGACATGAATGCTGCCGAATATAGGCGCCTATGGTTCTCCCCAATGTGTGGAATCGCTTTAGGGTGATTATCAAGTGCGCCTTGGACTCAATCTTAGGAGAGGTATTTTATCTAGCCTGCGGAAGTTGCCAAGCATTTCAATAGCCCCTTGTTCGGGGCTCGTGTTGGATTTTTTTCTTCGACGCTGGCCTCACGTTACTATCTGCGCTGCAAAATAGATGTGTATCAACTCTCGTGAAAACTACATGTGGGGGGATTGATGAGGTCTCAGGCTTTCAGGTTTTTCACTGTGCTAACGTCCACTTTCTACGGAGCTGATATAGATGCCCGGCGTGCGCTTTCCTTTAAAAGAAGAGAATCAGGGCGGGATACTAAACCTCCACCTGAAAACCACTTCGTACCTCCCCCTCTCTCTATCTTGTTCTTATCACACTAACTTCATGCTTACCAGATCCCAAAGCTTTCCTTTCCTCATATTCGACACACCCAAGTCATCATCTTTGACATTCCACATCCACCACAAACACCGCTCCCTCTCTCCCTCCCTCCGCTCCCCTCCCTCTGCAACAACAACTATAAAAGGAGAAGAAAAGAAAACCATAATAAAAAAAATACGCCACCCGTATCTGCCATGTCGCAGGTTTTAGGGCCCTCCCAAGCCATGCCGTTACCCCCTCACGGCCCGGCCGACATGATGAGTCTCGTCCTCACGCGCTACGATTACGATTACAACCGCGATCCCGACAGGGCGCACACGCGTGGGGGTTTCGATAGGGAAGGGGGCGAGGGGGGCTTTTCCGTGAGTGGGGCGGTTCGAAATCGGCCGATTTTCCTCGCCGGGGTCCCGCGCGCCGCGGAGGCGACGACGACCTACCGCGTCGACTACACCGCGCGGGATCGCGCGCGGAATGGACCCCACGCCCGCCTCGCGACCCCTCTCGTCGCGAGCGCGTTTACGCGGGATTGGTACCGCGCGGAGCTTACGGCGCACGCCGAGGCGGGCGGGCATCCGAGGACGGTTTACCAACACGACTACGCCGAACCCACCGGGCCGCGCCGGGCGAGTGGGGCATCGACCCCTCAAAAGGGGGGCGGGTTGCCCTCCTCCACGACCCCACCCCTCCGCGCGACCGCCGCGGGGTACGATGCGGATTTTTTAACCCGCAAAATCGACGGCGTCGTGCTCGACGACGGCGCGGCGGTGGCGCCGAAGATCACCGATCGCGCGGCCGTCGCCGCGCGGGATGGGGGCACCGGCGAAGGGCGGATCCCGGCCCTCCTGCGGGCGGCCTCGCGCCCGCCCGCG